AACTGAGAGTCACAGTGCAAAACTGAGAGTCACAGTGCAAAACACAGAGTCACAGTGCAAAACATTGGTGGCAATGCAAAACTTCAATGGCAGTGCAACTCATTTTGTGAAATGACAAAAAAGCAGAAAATTTAGACAGTTAAGTGAGATTTATTTAGGAAAACAATTTTTCCTGAGAAGCCGACGAAGTCGAGGCATCTAGGTATACATCTAGACTTAGGCCTTGTTTTTTGACAAGCCCGGGCACATGTACCTACTACTAGCCTTCTCCATAACCCACTGTTTATTAATTATTTCTTCACTTAATTTTTGTATTAAATGTAACGCTTAGACGCACCCCCCCCCACAAATTGTCAATGGTCCCTAAGGAGGAGTGCCCAAGTGCCCAAAATGTCATCCCTTTTACTTGTTGACACCGTCCAAAAAAGCTGTGAAACTTTCATTGAGTTGCACTGCCATTGGAGTTTTGCATTGCCACCAATGTTTTGCACTGTGACTCTCAGTTTTGCACTGTGACTCTGTGTTTTGCACGGTGACTCAGTTTTGCACTGTTACTCTGTGTTTTGCACTGTTACTCTGTGTTTTGCGCTGCTGACTCTCAGTTTTGCCCTGTGAATCTGTGTTTTGCACTGTGACTCTCATTTTTGCACTGTGACTCTGTGTTTTGCACTACTCAGTTTTGCACTGTGACTCTGTGTTTTGCACTGCTGACTCCCAGTTTTGCGCTGCTGACTCTCAGTTTTGCACTGCTGACTCTCAGTTTTGGCGTTCCATATTTTTCCTATTAAGAAAAACGCATCAATGGATATGTAAATCACGAAATAAATAAGGATGAATTAATATTTATGATATTGAAATACAGTACACGCCTAATTAAATAAATAATCAAACAATTCAATTGCGTGCAGTTTTTGTTTGATACAACCAAGACATTAATAATATAAATCAATATTTTGCAAAATTTGTATCAAATAAAATTAAATAATCAATGATTAATTAATCAATTAAATAAATTAATTAAATAGATAGGGCCTACATTTCGAATGTTTTATTAGAGAAGGTGTGTTCCATGCTGTCATTTATCAATGATTATTAAATGCTTATCTTCGAGTGTTTACCGTCTATTGCTTCCTCCAACAAATCGTACTATTCCTCCTATGATAATCCTTGAAGGCTCATGAAAAACTATATAAATAAGATAGAATTAAAATTGAAGTTTGTAACTTATCATTTGCATAGTTTACACAGATTTCATGGGCTACGCATTTAACGTACAAATTAGTATAAAAGTCCCATTATAAAAAAATACTAGTTTATAATCCTATCCAGGCTAAAAAAAAATGATTAAACAGCACGCTTTTTATTTTTATTGTCAAAATATAAAAATCAGCCTTTAATTATTTGCTTGTGTGCTGATATTCAAAGCATAAATACACAGCGAAATGTTTATGTAAGATGATTCTAGTATTTGTTGGTATTACCGAATATGGTGTACCGGTACAGAGTAGACGAGCGGGTTAAGAGTTTAACAGTTTTCGGAATTAAATAAAAGATGGAACACTGATGAAAGAGGAAATATCACAATGCATAAAACTATTATTTTCCTAAACCTACCAATTGATTCAAATGCTTGCCTGGTTTCCCATCTTTCAACAATCCATTGAAGGAAACTCATTAGTTTTTAACTTCATTTCAATTTTCTTAGGCAACTGATTGAGATCATAGGCCTTTAATTTATCTTACACTAAACTGTTTATCCCGGTTTGCCAGTTATACGTACAGCTGTTTAAATCATGCGTGTTATTGTTGTATGCGTGTTATTGTTGTATATATATATATATATATATATATATATATATATATATATATATGCC